TGTGATTAATCTTTGTGACAAATCTATATTCGTCACAATAAATAAGTCTCTTATGACGAAAGAAATATTTTGTCATATTTTTGTATCTATTGTGACAAAATTGGTAATGGCAAAATTAAGTTTTGTCACACCAGACATATTTTCTTGCAATGGTGATGTAGGGTTTTCTTACCTCTCCTTAGCTTTTAAAATAACCAACATATACCTGTACCCTAGCTTAATAACAAAATATCCATAAAATAATTATTGATTTGGTCTCTAATTTTTTAAGTGAATTCAAAATAGCTATTCCTTTTATAAATGGATCAACCCTTGACTGCCGCATTAACCCATCACCCAGTCCCCTGACTGGGCCAAGGTCCAATCAGGATTAACATTCTTGCTTCTAATTACATGTCGTTTCGGGTTAATTCCTGAGGGAGTCTATTTGTTCGATCTCTTGACAGTATATGATTTCCCTAGGTTGAATAGAGCACTACCATTTCATCGCTACGTCATTCCAGGTCAATCCCCAAGGGAGTCGATTTCCTAACGATAGAGGCATTGAGTCAATCGAGCTAGGGTGGTACGCAACATCGATCCAAATGATGGAACGATGGGGGATTCAAGCTAAGAGAGCTCCCAACTTGTAATTAGCTAGGGTAGTGGTTAGGTTAGTTTAGTTAGTTCCTTCTTAATCAATATTATAGGTTGGCTAGATAACGAAACTTAAGCCGAAGTAAGGTACATCTAGAGACCCATGGTTCGATAATTTTATTACTTGTTTATCCTATGCTACACACGATCATTGGTTATACTTGACATTCGATTGTGAAGTTTTAGTTAGAGCGAGCCAATTTATATTTAAATACAACATTTAATACCAATATCTAACGTTTATACTTAAATCCAACTAATAAAATCAACATTTAACATTTAAATTAAAAAAAAATTAATTAATTTTTTTATTAATTAAGTTCACTGTAATGATATCATTTTACTTGGAGGTTGTAAATCGATCACACCGTCATACCGATAATGTCATGAACGACTAAGCCATATTCAACCGATCGACATTCCACAAACTATGACTAGCAGCTACTAACTTACAATTCTATATAATTCATATTTTTTCTTCCACGTCTAACTTGTTTCCCCTTCCTATTTTCTTATATTTTTCTTCTACCAGAGGTACCCAAAAAGGAAAACAGCTAGATATGGCAAAATACAAGGACTTTTGCAGGTCAATATTACAAGGAAGAATTAAGGAAGAACATATGGTTGACCAACCGACGATCCAACGATGAGAGTGTTTTTTTCGCTATGAGATGGGAAACCTTATTATATGATAACACCCAAATTATACATATATTCACCTACAGTTTTACATCCTAAAATGACCTAAATTGTACTAAGTTCATTCGATTTCCCGATTTTACGCTTGGTTTTGTGTTTAAGTGATGTTTCAGGTTATTCCATCGAATAAGAAGAAATAATGAACTAATTTGGTGCTCGGATGATAAAAAGATGGTTAGGGTTCGAAATCTGACATCGGTGGAACTCGAGCTCGTGACGCCCCATGTGAGGGCAAAGAACCGTACCACTCCGGTCGCGTCCCCTTTTGGTGTCAACATACGAAACCCACCCCATATTATCGTGAAGAATCACAAATAGTGGTGAATGACAATGCATAGTCAAACCGCAAACTGTAGAGTCAAACTGTCTCTACTAAACATAAGGAAAATCTGTCAAAAGAGCCAACGTGGGCATCAACATGGACATGTTAACAGACCACATCAACATCAACACAGCCTACAACATGGCCACATTGAAGACAACCTCAACAAAAGTCAAGGAGTTGTCAAAGGGTCAATGTGGCAGCAACATGGCCATGTCCGATACCACGTCAACATCAACACACTCAGCAACATGACCATGTTCACACACCACATTCAGTGCAACACACCTGGGAACATGGCCATGTTCACAGACCATGTTGAGGTCAACACATCCTGGAACATGACAACGTTGAAGACCACGTCAAGAAAAGTCATGGAGATTTCAAAGGGTCAACGTGGGTAGCAACATGGTCATGTTCATAGACCACGTTCAGGGCAATACACCCAGGAAAGTGGCCATGTTCACAGACCATGCTGAGTTCAACACACCCTGGAACATGGCCACGTTGAAGACCACGTTAACAAAAGTCAAGGATCTTTCAAAGAGTCAATGTGTGCAGCAACACGCCATGTCTGTGACCAGGTCCACATGAACACACCCTTCAACACGGCCATGTTGAAGATCACGTTCAGAGAAGTCAAGAAGTTGTCAAAGGATCAACGTGGGCATCAACATGGCCGTGTTCCAGGTCGTGTTCACTGTCAGAATCATGTTTTACATTCATTTCGCCGCAGGGATCACATTTACGCTGCTACCGGTTGCTGGATCTATTACGGTTTGCAACATGACCGTGTTTGGGGCGTGTTGACCAATTCCAGCACGTTCCAATCATTCAACCGGCAGTTTTTGGCCATCTACAGGGGAACACGGTCATGTTCTAGCCCACGTTTAGAAGAAAACTCACCAATGTCTTTGCAAGTACTAACAAGTCGTTTTGACTACCAACTATGAACACGACCATGTTCTAGGGTGTGTTCAACCTGCTGCTGCCTATAAATAGAGTCTTGCAAGAGAAGAAAAGAGGGCTGAAAAATACCTTCCCTATAGCCTAGAAACCCGCCCAAATTATATCCTCATTTCTTGTATTTCATATTAAAGTGTTGTTGTTTTCATTTCCCGTCAAAAGTCTCGTTGTTTTTTTATTAATCATCATCGTCTCGTATTTCTTCGGTCGTGTTCTTCATGTTCATGTTCAAAGATGGGAATACCGTAGTATATTGCGTTATTGAGATTACCGAAGTGAGCATCCTATCTATGGGGTTTTGATAATCATTTGAGGTGGTAGATTGGTCGGTTTCCACCGTCTTCAACCACGATTGTTCCTCGTTGGAAACTTGCTAAGCGTAGTCTATTAACCCAATATATATACCATATTCTTATCTCTTCTATTCTTCGTCATCACCATTGTGCCGGCGTTCTCATCTCTTCCATCCTTCGTCATCATCATCATGGAAACTCCCTCCACCTCCATATTTCCAATCCTCATCATGTCCGGCTAATCTCCTTGTTGTTCCGGATTTGATGAACCCTAATATGCTTTGTATGGATTAAGTGGTATCTTTGACATAAACGTGTTTTTCTCGTCTTACGATCAATAGTGCACGTTTATTGTATATTTTGCCTGATACATGTAAATGAAACTGCGAGGTAATTTTGCATGTTAGATCTCTTGTGAAAAGAAGGAATTGATCGGAGCCACCAGCGATGGGGTCATGTAGTTCCTCTAGATTAGCTTAAAAATCTAATACGGAAATTCACAAATCTGGTTATTGCTTTGGTTTAAGAGTCTCGTAAGCCATGGTTCACTTGATTCTTAAAGTCGAAAGGGTGTTAATACATGTGAGAACGGCTCAACACTAAATTAGAAATGTTCATGGTCTAAGATTTGAACACACGTCTATGTAGAATTCAACTTGTTTGTATAATGTATGTTAGGGGGATTCATTTCCAGGGCAACACCTTCTCCTCTTGATTCTACTTTGAAATTGTTTGTTTGTTTCTTGTTTATTGCATGTGTCATGTGTGAAATCCTATACTTGATAATCAACTAAAAACGATTGACTAGATAATAGGTAAAAGCTTAGTACTAGTACAAGAAGTCTCTATGAATACGATCTTGCTTCCTGCTATACTGCTCTAGAACGATAGGTACCCTTGCCTATTTTTCCAGTGTTAGTTACGGGCGATCATTATACTTACGCAATGCGAAGTGAAACGATGCACACTGCATTGAGGCACGAAAAACCTGAACCTAAGAGAGAAGGCTGCTACCCAACGCGTACGTCAAATCCTTTTGATTGATCATATGGATGATCACCTGCGGAACACCACGCAATAGAACATTAGTTACACAAAGGAAAATACACTATCAAATAGCATCTCTCAATGAGCTCGATGATGAAGGCATCATGGTCGCACGACGACGATGTGAAAAAAGTGATATATCCTGGGCATCTAAACGTCCTCTGATAGCGTGACAAACAAGTTAAGTGAGAAGTTACAAATGTAGATTTGCATATTGGTCAGTGCATCTTGAACTTGTGTCAGAAAGCAAGTCTCAAGTTTATCTCTTCAATGGTTTATTTTATCCTACCAAAGAATTCTCAAGGGTGTGCATCAAGCTCTGTCGGCTTACGAGGTGATGGAACTCTTTCATTTGCTTTTGGTAAATCCTATTGTGGTACTATCAATGCTTACATACATATATTACTTGTCCTTAGTGAAGCTACGAAATGGTATCTTACTCATAATGTACTGATTGTCACATGTTGTGGGGATTTTCAACTGGTCATCATGGGTACGATATTGAGAAAGTCTTCCCTTCCCGGAGATAGAGCCATTAACATGGAAGTTTCTTCTCTCTTCATGTCCCCTCGTGTTAGTTTTGTGTCTTTTTCGCTCCTTGGCGCTTTAATAGAGCTGCCCACTAGTGACATAACAAGCTCTTTATCGGGAGTCTGGTTGCATACGGGCTACCGCTCTTTATTATTATTTGTTTTGTATACTTGTTTGTCCGGCCATGCCCAGGGACTTATCTTGGTAAAAAAAAATCATAATCTATTATTATTGCGACTTTATGTTCCAACTAGAAAGGAAGTCGATTCAAATTACTTATAACAAAAATCAAAATAAAATAATATTAAATAGATGGCAAAAAGAAGACAATATAAAACATCTTCCTTTCTCCCCTTCTAATTTTTTTTTTTTTGCCATAGCTTCGTTTCTCCATTTTCCTTTGTGAACTTTATTTTCTACCTTTTCATAATAATTAGATTTTACATGTGTTATGTTATATCTATCAAAAGAAAACAAATAAAAATATAGTATAACCCCTCTTCTCCTTCCACCTCCGATTGTACCTCAAAAAAAATTCTGCATTTCCAAATCCTTACCCTTTCTACGACGACAATCTTTCTTCCGTCTCTTCTGCTACCTTCGATTTCACTGCTTCATTTCATTTGATTGCCGATCCAAATTCACATCACTACCCTGCGCACAAACCCACAGCACAGCCAAAAGGTTTCTCTGCTGCTGCGTCCTCCTTCCAACTGCGGTGCTCACTAGTGTCCCCGCAATTCATCCTCACGCCGAGAATCGAAGCAACCGTAGCGTCCACAGGTAAGCCACGTCTCAATCTCTATCTATGTATCTGTCGTTGAATTGGTGTTCCACACCACGAAGAATTTGTGCGGTTTTTAAGGCACTTAATTTCGCTGGATGCTAAACCTATACCCAGTGTCGTCTGCGTTCTGGGTGTGCGGGGAAATGTTGTTTTTTCCTTTGCTCCGGTGTTTGCACGGTCTGTTTATGGGTGCTCCCAACTCCCGATTTTGGGAGCTTAGACTTGCGGCTTTTGATGACATCTTGAGTTTCGTGCGAGTTTTTACTTGCTGGTGAATTGGTGCTGTGGGAATTGAGTTCGATGGGTGTGTGTCTACAGCTTAAAAACTTAATCTATGTTGGAAGGTGAGATCACCTGCCTACAAATCAAAATTGGATTCTTTTGTTGCCTGCCTGGAAATGCTTGTGGGGTTCCCCAGAACTTCAAATTGGCTTTCGACCTATTATTGGCATGCTCAATGGTTGGAGTGGGACAAATTATTTTTTCCCGAACTATTGAGCTGAAGACTGTGTTCCAAAATCTTAGTCTCAACCCTTTTAAACTGGTTCCTTTGAACTTTGAAGGGGGATTCAAGTTGGTGCCTTGATGAACTTATCGTCTCAATTGCCTGAGGTGTTGTATATCGAATTGGCTTGAGTCATTGTTGTTAGCCACTGAAGGGATGTAAGCAGTTCGATAAAGGTTGATACTGGTTGTTGGGCTTCAGGTTTGCCCATATGTCAAGAGATGTGAACTCTGTTGTGCTAACATAATTAGGCAGACAATTGGAGTCTTGATTGTGAAATGCTGGCATAAGGGAGAGATTCAGCAGAGCTTTTGAATAAATCATTTATGCATGTATACATCTGACTGAGTAGAACTCTATCAGTTGAGGACAACGTGACGATATGAAATAAGTTAAGCAATTTAGAACTTTCATTTTGCGGTTAGTCTTTTATCTCACCGATGCTTCCTCACTTAGAACTCCTTTTCCTCTTCCTTTGGTTTAGACGGTAGTAGAAGACTTGCTGAGAAAAATGCTCTGCACAGTGCAGTCACATGCTCTTTCTGTTTTTTCCATGCTTTCCATTTCATTTTTTCTGCTTGGTTCTTTTGGCTTCTTCCAATCCTGTGGTCCATGATTTGGGATGTCGGTTCTGTCAAGCTTGTGGGAAGAAAATGGAATTCTCTGCAACTATATGGTTGCTCTTGCCGAGAAAGAATTTCTTATAGCTGACACTGGAAAGATATGATTTGTCACATAATGCTCATTTTCTCCTTCCGGGACCCTTTTTTCAATTGAGCCTACTTTCAGCAATAATAACATTTTTTTTCTTTCTATTTCTGCTATTACCATCTGGGGGTGACTCTTATCTAGTGATCTTCTTTAGGCTTCAAGTTGTTGCCTAATTTTGCAGCCAGAGAATGGAACTGCTGATGCTGTTCTTGTTCCAATTGAATTGAATTTTTGGCCAGTACATGGATTTATTAAAATGTACACAAGTACCTATTATATTTTACAATTAGGTTTTGCATGGTGAAAATTTCACTCTGTCTGAGCACAAGCGACGAATTCATAATGGTTTAAAAGGCTGGGAGTAGCAACTTGTCAAGCTTAGCAATGTGGTTATTTTCATTCTTTCTGCATACTTCCCTTTTGTGGTTTTGCTCTGGTTTTTGTCTAGCATTATTGCTTCTTTCCACAGTTCTCTATTCCCCAAATTTATTCATTGTCTCTTTTTGTGCCTGGAATTTCGACTTGTTCTATCTTCTGTTTTGAACTCAATTTTGACTTGTTCTATCTTCTGTTTTGTACTCAATCAAAAGATTGAGAGATCATGACAGGTAGAAGTGCTATCATTTGTCAAAGCGATTGCCAACTAACATTTCATTGACCTTTTACCGCTTGAATCGATTTTGCTGATACATATGTAGCACTCATCACCTTCACTCTGAGAGTGATGTTTTTGCTTGAACAGAATTCAGGCAGTGCAATTGAAGATATCATGTTATTGCAAACACACTTTTTTCTTGCGACTGCTACATGTCCCATCATGGAAATTTAAATCACTGATTTTTGTGGTGTTTGAAAATCTTGGGAGCGCTAGGCTATATTCTAAAACTCGGTATAATATGGTATATCCCACACTACGCAGCATATAAAGGAAAATGGCCAAATTTAGCAATTTACAAGGACATACAATGTAAATGATGCAAGACTAGATAGAGTGCCATAGGATTCAGGAAGCCCAGTTGTTATGTTTTTAAACTCCCTTGTGGAGATGTATGCATTCGGGTTCTGGACTATCTGATCTCAGAATTCTGAAAGCTTTACTTATCCATTACTGACCATGTTTCTACCCTTCTGTCTTATCTCAGATCTTTTGTTTACACATAATCCAATATGATATCAACTTCCTATCAAAGAACTGTTGTGGACGGATGAACCAATGCTTAGTATGTCTGAACTGATCGAAGGTCTTCCCGACGCTGTTGCCATCAGGTGCATTGCACGAGTCCCCTTTTACCTGTTCCCCAAATTAGAGCTTATCTCTCGTTCGTGGCGAGCTGCCATTCGCAGCACTGAACTCTATAAAGCCCGGCAAGAGGTTGGCTCAACAGAGGAGTTGCTTTGCGTGTGCGCTTTTGAACCTGAGAATTCATGGCAGCTTTATGACCCACTCCGAGAGCTTTGGATTACTATCCCTGTTCTACCATCCAAAATTAAGAATCTGGCTCATTTTGGTGCTGTCTCAGTTAGTGGGAAGCTGTTTGTACTTGGAGGGAGCAGTGATGCTGTTGACCCATTGACTGGGGATCAAGATGGAAGCTTTGCTACCAGCGAAGTATGGTCATATGACCCTGTGATTCGACGATGGGCCCGGCGGTCATCCATGCTCGTGCCACGTGCAATGTTTGCATGCTGTGCTCTGAACGGAAAGATAGTAGTGGCAGGAGGTCTCACTACATGTCGGAAATCGATATCTCGAGCCGAAATGTATGACCCTGAGAAGGATGTGTGGTTCCCTATACCCGATCTTCATCGTACTCCAGATTCTGCTTGCACGGGACTTGTCATTGGGGGGAAGTTGCATGTTTTGCATAGAGGGCTTTCAACCGTGCAAGTCTTGGACAGTGTAGCAGCATCTGGGTGGAAGGTTGAAGACTATGGATGGCTGCAAGGTCCAATGGCGGTCGTTCAAGATGCTCTTTATGTGATGAGCCATGGACTGATTTTCAAGCAGGAGGGCAAGACAAAGAAGGTAGTGGTTTCAGCATCCGAGTTTAGAAAGAGGATTGGGCTGGCTTTGACCAAACTTGGGGATGACATATATGTGATTGGAGGGGTTATTGGCCCCGACGGGTGGAACCGGGAAATCCAGCCTTTGTCGGATGTTGATGTGTTGACTGTTCTTGGGGAAAGGCCGGCTTGGCATCGAGCAGCTCCAATGACGAGGTGCCGTGGAACTATTTTAGGATGTACACAGCTGAGAATCTAAGCTCTCTGCTGGGGGGTTCTTTTTCTTTTGTGCTTCGTGTTTTGTTGTGAAAGGGTGATGATGCTGTTGACTCCATGCTTGGACAGAAAGGGAATGGCAATTGTTCTCTGGTTGTCTGCCTATCCAGTTCCTTGGTTATTGCCCTGTATTGATTCTAGTTCGTTTTATGGGTCCTTCAGGGGAAGTCCCTCATCTCTCCTCTTGAGGGGCGAAGGCAACAACTGACGTTGAATCCGGGCTTCAACGAGCACTGCAGTTGTACCTGGAAGTTTGTTCAGGATTTACTGTTGACGAAAGCCATTGTTTTTTTATTCTTTGTACTTCAGTGTATCTTAGCAAACAAATGTAGTTTTTCATCTGTCGCTCCTCTTGTTGCTAGTCCCTTACCTCGAACCCAGCTTAAGTGTATCCTATAGTAAAAACACAAATACACTTTTTTTTTTCCGGTTTATGCTATTGGCTTCTTCCCTATGTCATAGTTTATGCTTTGCTTGTCCATTAGAATTTTCATCTTCTTGTCAAACTGGTTCTATGTCCAATATGTTCCTTTTTTATTACCATCGTAGCGGTAAATGATTGGCCGAAACTCTATGCTCAATTCGTTTATCGAAAAAGGGTGCAGGGCCCCACTATCAGGTGTTTGGAATTTCTCTTAATTTTCACGTTTTGCAAAACCAAGGAATTGGTTTGTGATAATTGAGTCAAATACCATCGTCAAGGTTGTCAACCCGTGGGTAGACCCGGACCTCGACAACCCGCGAGTAGACCCTGATCCGGTCGAGGTCGAGTTAGTGGGTCAAGGGTGAATGGGCCAACTGTTTTACCCCGGTTTGGCCCGGAAATATAGAAAAAGTCATTATATTGTACTTATCCTCATAAATTATATCAAATCTTATCTAATATATGAGTTATAACATATAATATTACACCAAAATAACATATCGTATATAGATCCAACATATAGTGAAAATTCACACACACTTATATAACATACATATTCAAATGTTCAACTTAGCATTCCAAAAATTGAGCTAGGCGAAAAGAAAAATCGGAAAATAGGCGCATTTCACAAACCAAAGAAAAAAATGACACAATTTGACCTCCAACCCGGTACCTTGTAGCAGTCGGCCCGGCGGGTGCGTGCGGGCCGTTTTTCTCACAGGGTCAGGGTCAAAGTGGGTCGACCCGCGGGTTGACAACCTTGACCATCGTAGATACTAAAATACCGTCATTTATTAATATATGTAAGAGATCATTTACTTCTAATTGTTGTTTTTTTTTATTTTACAAACACTCCTAATTATTGTTGCTAATTATTTTTTCTAGGGTTATAGGTATATTATATCCCTCTACTTTGGATATTATATCAGAATTAAGTAATCATCAATACGAAAAGTATTTCTCAATCTCTAATCTCTCTCAATCCTCTAAAATCCTGTCTTTCTCTAATAACGAATAATAGGGTTATCTTATCTCAGTCCCTTTCAACCGTCGCTCTATTATCTCAGTCCCTCTCATCCTTCCTGCTCCGACTCTACCTCCCAGATCCAACATCGAATCGACCAAAGAAAGCAATGCAGAGGAAAAGTTGATGACCAGTGTTATCCAAAGAAGGATCGGTTGGCGGAACTCAAAGCGATGGAGGAAGAGGTTAAAGGTCGTCACGATGGTGGAGGTTTTTTTATTAGGGAGCGGCGAAGTCGACCTTTCAATCCATCGTAACGTTCATGAATGCAGGGATGGTGGCAATAATCAGTTGTGGATATTGACAGATTACGATCATGATGGATAGAAAAGTGGTGTGTGAGTTTATAATAAGTCGTAGTGATTTAATAGCAGTAATAGCGATTCTTTGCATTAGTACTTTTGTAGATCTGAACATTGGATATTAGAATGTATGTAGTATTAATTTTTAGTTGTGATTTTAGAGTACTGATTTCATAGTAGTCATTACAAAGTTGTAGTGATTTCATAGTCTTGGTAATGATGTTTTATATAGATTCTAATTAAGCTTTTAGTACTACTTCTTTAGTAGTGATTATTGATTTAGTATAAGATATGTATCACTATTGACTATTAACATCAATGAAATCACTACTACAACTTTACAAGACATCAAATAACTATCAAAAACCATAAATTACTACTACAAAACATCCAAATCACTATATATGTCTCGACAGAACGACTATTAAAAAATATTTATTACCAAAATTACTATCAGGAAAAAAAAAATTAAATTTGATCAAAGGAGATAGAAAGTGAGGGAGGAAAAAGAGAGGGACGCGAGGAAGAGTGGAAAGAGGGAGAAAGGGAGACGTGAATGACGGGAAGAGAGATAAATAATTAGGAATTTTATATTCTAATTGATTTAATTTGAAAGTTTCTAAATTGTCCCTAATTAAAATTTACCTTTTGATGTAGAATTAAAAGATGAAGGGTGATTAATGGGGTTAGTATGATGCTAATTATTAGGAAGTTAGCATGTCATCCCGTTTTTAATACAGTTATTGGGATCAACTGATTTATGTTAGCGATCTCCAATGAAATTGAATCCCGGGATCCGAACGTGATTGCATTATTTGGGTAAGATTTGTTTTCTTTATTATTTCTTGATAAGTTATAAGTAGTAGTAGTCGGTAATTTTTCCTATAAAAAGCAAGTGATTGCATTGTTTTGACTTGGTAGAAGTTATTTGCTGCGAAGAGTTAAATAATTATATAGAGCAGTGTCTTTACAATTTCTCTCTTCTTATTTTCGTTCCTCTTTTGGTTTAAGGTTAGAAACTCTTCATTATGTTGGTACCATTATTTGCTGAATAAGTTACTAATTCTTTTTAGTGTTTAGTACTTTTTTCCAAGTGAACAATAAATATTTATAATTGTGGTTGTATTTTGCAAATTATGATTCCAAATAAAGATTGGGTGAGTATAATAAATAGGAGAGCACCTAAATTCGTAGATGGCGTATATAAATTTATAGAGTTCGCGTTTTCTCATTTCAATCAACAAATGGGCCGATTACTCAAGGAGGACTTGAGCATTAAAAGGACCGCTTTGGTCAGAGCTCTTTTATATGGTGTGGGCTACAAAGACAAAGAAGGTGAATCTGTGGGCTTAGTAAATGAGTTCTCAATGAAGTATAGGCCACAAGCAAGAGGCAAGTAAGCAATGTGATGAGCTAGCTCTAGGAAACATTAACTCTATTCCAGAGTTTCGAACACTTGATAAGTATGGATCGACAATGGACAATAACGTGGAGTTCAAGATTCTTGATTGACTCATACCAATGAGAGATGAAATATGGAGGTTTACCGTTTAAGGCCAGACCAAATTTGAATATCGATACCGGTTTGTAACCGCTTAATGGTTACAAACCGGTTATACTGATTTATCGCAAAGGAGAGGGAGAAGCAGATTTTGGGTTAGGTTAATCAGGAAAAACCGGTCTGAATCTCGACTGTGAGCAGACTGTCTAATTTTAAATTTTCTTTTTTTTTTGGCATTTTATGTAAAAATTAATAATTTAATTATTAACTCTTATTTACAATATTTTAATTTTTATACTTCCATTCATGTACTATGAATAATGGAATATGTCAACGGTAATTGTCAAACATTAAACCGGTTTGTTAATTAATTTACCACTTGTTCTTTGTTCTTTGTTATTTTGAGAGTTTACCACTAACTTAATTACTCCTTACTCACCAATTAACACCCTTGCAAATTAGATAACATAACAATCTCTCAACCTTACTATCTTATCTTTCATGAAGGGTAAATTGCAAGGTTGGTCACTAAGATTACTAAAAAGGTTCGTGTTTGATCACTAAAAATATTTAATTCCATTCGTGGTCACTGAAAATAATTTAACGGTTCAAGTTTAGTCACTGGCCATTACCTTCCGTTAGTTTCCGTTAACGGCGTCAATATTTTGCTGATGTGGCTAACAGAAGTGCCTAATCAGCTAATTTTATTCAGAAAAAATTAAAAGCTAACCTGGCACGTCATACAACCCAATCCACCCATAACCGGACCTGCCCAACCCAAAATATCCCAATCTTCAACTCATCGCTACTCATCAAATCCCTCCCCTACCTTCTGTCAAGGTCTCAAGGACCTCCACCATTCGCCTCCACTCTTCAATTGCACATTGCTTGCAACAAAGCTCTCTCTCTCTCTCTCCAGATCGCTGGCCTTTTTCTCTTCTTCTCCCTCTCTCTCTCTCTCTTCTTTCAATAAGCTTCGCCATAATCCCGAAGAGGAAACCCTAGGCTTCTTGCTCCAGATCTGGTGGTCGTGCAATGTGATTGGCGGCGGATTAAGTGGAACGAGCTCTTTGGAAGAGACTTTGGCTACGACGGAGCGAGTTCTTTGGATTCAAGCTGAGTTGCTCCAGATCCAAGCCAAATTCGTCTCCCGTGACCGGCTAGCGATGGAGATGGTGCCGCCCAACGTTCGATTGAATCCCGAAAGACCCCGTGAATCCGCTCGCCTGCCTCATCGATCCTTATGGACTTGCTGGACTAGAACGAGACTCACTGGTGAACCACGATAGGCGACCCTAAAACTGAAGCGAGATGTCAGAGGTGATGCAACCTTTCTTTGTTCCCGTTCTGAAGATCCGCCTTCTCCAACTCCAAGCTCATATCCAAATAGAACCCCAGAATAGCCTGCTGCTTGAGATAATTTGGGTTGGCTGGGATTAATTTGGGGTGGATCGGATCATGGGTTAATGGGTTAGATGGTTAGGTTTTCATGATGTGGCATGTCTTTTATGATGTGGCAGAGTTGGATTTTATTTTTTTCAGATTAAAAATAGGTGACTAAGTAAGTCTGTTAGCCACGTCAGCAAAAACTTGACGCCGTTAATGGAAACTAACGGAAGGTAACGGCCAGTGACCAAACTTGAACCGTTAAATTAATTTCAGTGACCACGAATGGAATTAAATATGTTTAGTGACCAAATATGAACTTTTTTTTTGTAATCTCAGTGACCAACCTTGCAATTTACCCCTTTCATCAAACATCATCAAATTCAAAGGGACAACAATCAACATAATCGCCAACCGACTAAAGTGCACAATGACAATGTCTAAATTCAAAACAAGTTCAATTAATTCAAGATCGATGCGGAGTCGGAGAGGGAAGGCGGCGTCACGAAGAGGCGGAGGCGGAGGCGGCGTCAGCGTCAACATCGGACAGGGAAGGAGGAAACTCGAACGCGATACAAGGAAGAGGGAAGCTGCGAACTGGGGGAAGGTTGGTCGATCGAATGATGGTGGCTGGGTGGCTGGATTGGTTTCGGCGATTAGCGCATTAGGGTTTCATCCTTTCATGTTTCTCCTCCAAACATCGTGTTTCATGTCTTTGAAGGCCCCTGCTTCTGCGCTTTTTCCTTTCTTTCCGGTATCCGGTTTAACTGGATAACCGTCGGTATACCGGCAGGAGGGCCGGTATACCGAGGAGCTATTTGTTGCCGCCGACAACCGAAATCGGCAAGTTAACGGTATTACCGGTAACCGCCAGTTATCGGTACGGTTACCGGTGAAACCGGATACCGGGAAACTGATTATCAGCCTAACTTATAATCGTAGAGAAGCTCCA